GGTTTCCTTCAGTTGAGTCCCATATGTCTGTCCGCTTCTGCCTTATTTTTCCCCTTGTTGGCCAGAGGACATACTGAGGGCTGGAGAGGCTTTGAAGTCAAAGATGAAAGCAACAAGGGCGTGATTATGAACAGCTACTCAAAACACCATCCCTAATAACCTCAGGCTGGAGGTGGGCGGGGGTGGGGCCTGAAGGGAGGAGGTGACGGGAAGGGAGGGGAGGAGCAGGGCAGTCCCTGAGAAATCGCTCTCAACCTGACTGGCAAAGGTGTCCTCCAATGGCTGAGGGTGTCCTCCAATGGCTGAGGGGAGGGTAGAGAGGGTCCCAACAGGAAACCTGAGCAGAGACCCCACCTTGACCTGGACACTGAGTCCAGACCTTGCAGGGCTGCCTTGCTTTCTCGTGTTCTGTCCTTCCTCAAAGAGGGCTAAGGTGTGGGATCCCCACCTGGCCTCCCCATCCCCTGGGGAGATGTGGTGGTGGTGGGGCATCTAATTGGTGGTGGGTGGGATCAAATTTCAGAGCCTTTGGATCCAGGCATTTAGCTTGTGGTTGGGGAGGTTGGGGCCTTCCCAGCTTGAGCAGGACCCGGATGTCCTTTTCAGGGGACCTACAGCTCCCACAGACCTGTTCTGGGCAAGACACTGCCTCTGAGGCTCTGGGCCCAGGGTGGGGAACCCAGTGCTCAGGGTGGAGTTAGGGTGTAGGGATCTCACAGGTTGGAGGAATTTAGAGCCTTCGCTCTGGGTGTGTGATCATGGTAGTCACCCTGAAGGTCACCCTAGGAATGGCTTATCTCCCCTGGTAGGTGCCAGCCCCTCCTCCCTTCTTGCGTTCACTCACCCCCCACCCACTTATTTGACCTGGCCTTTCTATCGAGTGGCAGGTGGAGGGGTGGGGGACACATAAAATGGTGAGAGCCAGGAGAGCGGGAGAGAGAAAGAGATGGGGGAGGGAAAGCAAGAGGGAGGAGAGCCCAGCAGAGGGTCAAATAAAAGGAGAAAAGGACTCTGGGGTCAGATGAAGACAAGATAACAGTGGGACTCAACACAGGGACCAGGCCTGGAGCCACTCCAGCCTGGGGCACCAGCCTGGAGCCAGGAGTCGCCAGTGGAGGCCTGGGAGACCACAGGTGTCTGGACCTGGTAGGAGGGCTCCCACCATTCACAGGGTCCTGGAACCGGCCTAGCCAGAGCAGAGGGCAGAGGTCAGCGTAAGCAGGTGGACCATTGCGCGGTGGCAGGTCGGAGGGCGCCGGCCTGGAGCTGGAGCTGACGCGGAGGCCAGCGCACAGCTAAGGGCCTCTCCTCCCCCATCCCTAGGGCTCCCTGCCCGATGTAGGTCATGAGGATGGGGTGGCTGATGGGCTGTCAGAGCCCAGTAGGAGCTCCCCTCCCCCAGCCGGATTCTCCCCATCACCCCCCTGGCCCCCCACCCCAGGACTAAGGCAGGTGGGGAGGAGAGCAGGCAGGCTAACTGGGAAGGAGGGCCCAGGAAGCCACAGCAGGGAGGCGAGGGCAGGTCCTGGCGTGTTGGGGCAGGATGGTTGCGGTGGCAGGATCTGAGCCGCAGGGGCCCTGGGATGGACAGTTCCCCACCCCCTCTTCTCCCCCCAGGCCCCTGGTCTCCAGCCTCCAGGTTCCCACCTCCTACCAAACACACCTCGAGGATGCACCCACCTCCTCCCCTCCCCCCCCCGCCCCCCTTCCTCCTTTCCGTCTTATCCTGGGCACAGGAGGATGTGTTTAAGCTGAGGTGAGGGAGGGGGAAGGACAGGTCAGGTGCTCACCCCCAACTCGACCAGGCCAGGACCAGCTCCCTCCCCCAGCCTCTCGTGGCCTTAATATAATATTCATGAGCTTCATGAATATGCAGTGCCCTCATTATGGGGCTGGGGTCTCACTGCGCTCTGCTTCCCTCTCCGGCACTCCCTAGATTACCGGAGAAGCGCAGCCTGGGGAAGAGGGGACTCGGGGACCCCAGATGTGGATCCAGATGAAGGGGGAGGGGGAGCCGATCGCTGGCTGGCGGCCGCAGTCTCCGCGGTGCCCGGAGGTGGGGGGGAAGGTGACCTACTGAGAGGGACCCGGGAGCTTGGAGCCGCAGAGCCCACTCACCGAGGATCATGCTGGGGACCCAGGAGCGCGGGGTTCCGCGTCGCTCTGTCCCGGGGGCCGTTCTGACTGGGCTGGGGGTACGGGGGGAGGAGTCGGGGGAGGAGCAGAGGCCGGCCCAGGCGGAGCGGGGGCGGGGCCCGCAGCAGGTGAAGACGGGAGGAGGAGGGGGGCGGGGACGCGGGCACCCAGGGCTCCGGGAGGGGCGTCCTGGCGTCTCCGGCCCCTCCCGCTTCCTCCAGCGCTTCCACCGGCTGCCTTGGGTCTCCTGGATTTCCGGTGTCACTGCAGTCAGGGCTGGGAGCCCGATGTCTAGCGGCTCAAGGGAGGTGACGAAGGACGCTGGGACCTGAGCTGCCTGGGTTCCGCGGGCTGGGTCTGCGGGTGGGCGGTCGGACCCCAGGCCTCTGTGCAGTGGGGCGGCGGCGGGGTGTGTGTGGGTGTGCTTCAGTCATCTGGGCAAGGATGGGGCCTGCGCTGGGTGGGACTCCCAAGTCCCCTCGGGAGGAATGGGGGTGCACTGCAGCTAGTTTGTTCTCCGACTGTGGAGCAGGATGCCTGGGGCTGGGACGCGGAGGTGAAAGGTGGGTCGATCGATCGCTGGTGCTGGCACGTCCCGGGCCTGGGTCCCTGGGGAAGGGCTGAGGGAAGTCTGCCATTCCTGGGCCTGAGGAGGGGTGAAAACAGAAGCTTGCAACTGAGATCATTAGCAAGAAGCTGAAGACAGAGGCGCAACCTTGTAGAGATGACCTGGTAGGGAAGGCGGGGGTAGGGGGTGGGGGGGGGACATGTCCACCCGTGGCCTACAGCTAAGTCCCTGCGAAAACGAGGCTGGATTGCAGAGGGCCACTGGACCCAGAGAGGGCTGTCTGTCTGGTGAGGTTGAGGGGGCCGGACCGGTGAGGATGCCTCGGGAAAGGAGGGTGCAGGACACTGGGATGGAAGTGTGCTAGGGCTGGGGTGGGGGTGGGGAGTCTGGGAGTGCACCTGGAGGTGTCTAGGGAAGATGCCACTCCAGTTTAGGACCTGTCGGGACCCGCCCTAAGAGGGAGGGGCAGCAGCCGGCCGCTTTCCCAGAATGCCAAGCAGCCCGAGGGGAAGGAGTTGAGTTTGGTAACTAGAACACCTGGGATTTAGAGCCGTCGGAGGCAGGAAGCCCTGGGTAGAAGGCGGCAGGGCTGGACTCTAGCAAGGGGAAGGGGTCGGGGCATTCTAAGTTCTGGAAGAGGAGACTCTACCTTGGTCCCAACAGTCTCTTGTGCTCACCCCGTTGATTTAGTAAGAAGGAAAGAACAGCCCTTGCGCCTGTCAGACTGGGGCTGGCTCGAGGACAAGAGGTTGCTGTGCTAATGGCATGCATGGTCTTGCTCTGACCCCCAGGCCCCTGAGATTCCAGGGCCCTATGGCTTGACTGCCGCCGCCTGGCTGTGGAGCAGGGTATGGGGTCTCTAGGCTCATCAGAGGAGCTCCTATGCCCAGGAAGTTCAAATCCAGCATCAATAAGGCCCTTTTGCGGCCTTTCCCACCCCATCTACAGCCCGCCATTCCCTTGTTCTCTGACCAGGCTTTCTCCTTGGGTTGACTCCCAAGGCAAAACAAGGGTCCGCATCAGGCATGGTTGATCAGCGACAGGGACCCCATGCCCTCAGCTCTTTGTCAGCCTTCCCACCATGCCCTCAGGGACACCGAGAGAGGGAGCTGAGAGAGGGGTCTCCGAAGAGAGATTGCTTAGCTTCCCAAGGGGAGGCAGCTGGCTGGAGGGTGGGGTGACCTTGCAGGCAGCTGAGGGGGGCAGTGTGTGGGGTGAATTCATTATTGATGAGCCCTGCACCCCGGGCTACTAATGAGCCCAGGCCGGTTGCTCTAATTGATGTCAAGAAACTTGAGACCCCCTAGATCAGCTTCCCGCTTGCCAGCTGCCTCTCCTGAGCCCCCTCCCCCTCCCCACATCCCCAGCTGCTCTGTTCCCTTCCTGGGGCCTCCCTCCCTCCTCCTTTCCATCTCCAAATACAGACGAGGAGGGGGGGGGGGCGGCGTCTCCCAGGCCTTCACCTGTCAGAAGACCGTTTTGTAAAGGCATGCTTGATTTGAAGCCCTGCGAGGGGTGGGAGGGGAACTAGACCAGAGCCTGGGACCCTCAGCTCAAGGGCAGAGAAACAAGTCCTAGATTACAGCTGGGACCTCTCTGGCCAAGGAACCCCTCCCTTGTCTTGTGCATTCTTGGGAGAGAACTTGTCCCTCTGGGAGACTCAGAGGTGTGTCCTACACACACCTCCAGGATCACCATCAGCCCCGTTGCTCTCCCTCTTTGCTCAGCAGTGACAGAGCTCCAATCCTCCTTTGGCTGCCGCCACGCCCACTCCCAGAGAGGGGTGCCAGCTTGCTTCTTAAAAGTGGGTTTCCTTCCTGGAGAGTTCCAGATGCCTTGTTATGCCACAAATGCCATTCTGGCAATACTGGGCGGCTTCTTGACTCACCGTGTCTCTTCCTCCCTATAAATCCCTCTATCTTTATGCGTTCTGGGAAGAAGTTTTGTGAGGCACAGAATTATCGAGAAGCCACAGGGTGGCGTGGAGTAGCCTTAGTCTCTCAGGAGAGACAATTTCAGGGGATGCAGGCACTTCTAGGGAGATGTCTGAGTTAAAAAGCCTTTGGTGATGGGAGGGACAGGGTGAGGTGGACCGCAGGCACCCTTTGCCCAACACCCCCATAAATTTTTGGCTATGCTGCCCTCTGGTGGCTGGATTCTGCTGTGGCCTGACAAGGACATCTGGCTCTCGCTCCATTAGGTACTTTAGGTCAGGTCTTCCTGGAGGCAGGACCCCAAGGGCTACCTTGCACTGTAAGGTTGGTCTTCAAAGGGCTGAGCCCTAAGGCATGTCGGTGAAGAATGAGGGCTGGGAGGGCTTTCACCACGTGGATAGGTTTGACTCTGCCACTTCCTATATGACCTTGGGCAAGTTACATCACCTCTCTGGGGCTCAGCTTCTCCTTTACAAATGGGATGCATACGACCTACTTCAGAGGATAATTGATCGCCCTAAAAGAAATAAAACCCAAACCTAGCTGGCTTTCTTTTCTCGAATATACCATATTTGAGACAAGAATTTCTATTCTCCTAAGAATTACCATCTTGGAAACCCACAGGGGGCAGTTCTACCTTCTCCTATAGGGTCTCTACGAGTTCGCATTAACTCGATGGCAGTGTGTTTGGTTTGGGTCTGCTAATGAGTACGTTATATGCTTTCTACCCCCACCCCTTCCCCTGGCAGCGTCCTAGGCTTTAGTTTCCTGTGTGTGCTATTGGAGCTAAATGCATTTGCTATGTGTGTGTATTACATGTGAAAAGACCGTAATCCCACAGCTTCCTCTTGCAACTGATTCCATGGGTCACCACCTGCCTCCTCTTATTCTGGTTCAGGAAAGCCCAGATGAGCCCCTCCCCACCCCCACCCCCGCCCCACCTAGTCCTTTCCTTTTGCATTCTCTGACCCTCAGACCCAGAGAACAGGGGTTCCTGTCTCTCCCTTGGGGGCACTGAGGGCAGGTCTGGCAGGACTGGGGGAGGGGCAGGGGAGCCAAGTGTCTCTGCTTCCATCATCTCTTTTCCAGTTCCCGGGCTCCTGCCCCTGGCTCCCAGGAGGAAGAAACTGAGAAGCACAGGCATCACCTTTCTCCACGGTGTCTGATCCCAGAATGGAGTAGGGGAGAAAGACAGATTCGACCTCTGGTCAGTGGGGACCCCCAGGCCGGGTTTATTGCACTTGCAACAGAGTTTAAATAAGTCCCCGGTATCCTGGAGCCAAGGTGAGGGGGAGGCTGGGCAGGGAGGGGAGAGGGAGGGGAGGGGAGGGGTAGCGTCAGTGCAGCTGGTGGGCAGAGCCCAGATCCTGTGAGCCCAGGACCATGGCCCCCCCTCTCTCCAGGGGCCCTAGAAGGGTCTGCATCTGGCCAGGCCGAGGTTCCATAGCTGTGGCCATCATGGCCTCTTCAGGGTCCTGGGCGTTTCCTGACTTCTCCTGAGTCAGGGGTGGACCAGGTCTCCAGGCCGTCTTGCGCAGGCCCAAATGTGGTCCTGGGTCTGCCTGGTTAGGCTATTGATGGTCTCAGCCCGGGTCCCGGAGCAGCACGGGCCACAGGCCTCACCCGAGTTCTGCTTCTGATAGAGCTGGGTTTGGGGCCGTGCCAATCCTTGCTTGGGATCTGCCCTGAGCTGGTCCTGGGGCACCATCCCTGGTTAGTGTTCCTTGTTGGCCCACCAGGACGAGGACTCTCCGGGGCTCCAGGTCTTACTCCCAGGTTCCAGATTCCTAGCGGAGTCTCTGGCAAGGCCCAGGGAAGCTCTTTGCAGGTTGGGGCCGGACAGGAGGTCCTGGTGGCATGTCAAGCCCTGCACACTGAGACGAGATTCCCGGCGCTGTGGTTCCCAGTGGCTTTCAGAGAACTCTTGCTCCAAAATGCAAAGGTGGCAGGGAGGCGGAGGCCCCTGTCCATGGGTCTGAGTGCCCTGGTTAATGAGGAGGGCTGTGTGTAAACGAGGGTCCTTCACAGTGCATGGGGGTGGGTGGGCCCAGCTCCTCACCCACCTTGCTTGGCCCTTCAAGTATGTCCCTGGGCTGGGGAGAGGAGCATCTCCCTGGCCCTCAGCACCTTCAGGAAGTGCCCAGACACCTCCCTGTCAGCAGACTGGTGGGTGGGAGAGGCCTGGGCCTTCAGATTTGGGGAGTCTGGGATCAGGCATCAGAGGTGGCTGGAGGCTTGAGCTGAGCTTTTTCCATGGCGGTGCCGTAGGGGAGGGAGCGTTTGAAGAATCCAAGCTAATACAGAGGAGAGGAAAGAGGGTTTAGATGTGCTGTCTCCCTCTTCTCCCCAGCTGTGACCCCAGAGGGAATGAGAAAGGCCCTCCTGCACTTAGTCCCATCCCCCTCACTCCCCCCACCCCCAGCCAGAGCAGCCTCTGAAGTCAGGCTGCTCAGACTGCACCTTGACCACGCCCGGTATGCCCAGAAGGTCCAAAGCTGGGACTGAGGGGTCTTTCCCCACGTGTAAACATGGCCCTCACTAAGCCGGGAATGGCAGAGGTTTGAACGCAAGTACCAGTTCTGAGCATCTGGTAGTGGCTGCCTCTTGAGAAGGGTTCTGAGGCCACTTCCAGGCTAATGGCGGCTGCCTTGGGAGTATAGGGTGGGGGTGGGAGGGGCGTGGGGGTGTTGGGGAATGCCAACATATGCCATTGGCCCAACATGGCAGCATTGCTTTTTTTGGGGTGGGGGGGATACTTTGGTTTTGAGTCTATAGAAAATGTACTACCTTGAGACAGACTTTCTAAGTTAGGGGGCTTCAGAATGAAGGATGGGCCCTGACAGACAGGGGCCTGATGGGATGTGTGTGGCCAGGGCAGAGGTAGGGCCATGGGGTTGAAGGTTCGGAGACCCTGGAAGTGGATGCTTGCGCTGTGCTGGGCCAGGGGCACAGCTAACCTTGTAGAGGACGTAGATGAGCAGAGCTAGGAGCAAGAGGCCGATGAGGATGGCTAGGATAATGATCCACAGTGGGGCGCCGTGGTTGCCCTCTGCCTTGGTCCACTGCACAGCCGTGGCCACCTAGGGAGCAAGCCAGGTGAGGCCACAGGAAACCCAGAAGTTCTTCATCCTACACGTGACCCTCACCTGCCATTGGCCCTAGACTCCCCGAGCCCTCATTTTTGGTCAGTTCCTAAAATGTGTTAATATTGTCTATTTGTGGCCCTTCACACCTGCTACCCGCTCTCTCCAGAATATTCTTTTCCTGAGGGGTTAGCCTGGTTACTGCCTATCTATTCTTCAGGTCTCAGTTTAAGCATCACTTCTGCCAGCAAGCCTGGCCTGCTCTGTCCCTGAAGGACTGAGCTCAGGTGCCCTGGGAAGTGGCCCTCCCCTAACACACTGGCAGGAGCCCTGGTGGTGTAGTGGTTACGTATACATTGGGCTGTGTTCCGAATGGTCAGCAGTTCTAAATCACCAGCAGCTCTGCTGGAGGAAGTCTCGGAAACACACAGGGAGCCACTATGAGTCAGCGTGGACTCAAGGGCAGGCAGTGAGAAGCACACTGGCACTTGTCACGTTGTGGTCGTTGCTGGTTACACTCTAAACTCTAGTGGGGAAGCGACACTGTGAGCTTTGCTCACCACTGTATCTCTAATACCTATCCCACAGCTGGCGCAGTCCTCAGTGCTCAATAAATATCTGTTACCATAGCAAGACACTCCCTCCCACCCACCCGTGCCCCAGGCTGGTGTCAGACCCGGTACTCTGAGGCCGGTACCGCTGGCCCTGGGCTCACCTGAAGTTCCTTACTGGGCAGCTCCTGAGGCAGGATTCGGTAGGGCATCTTCCGAGCTTTATACACAGCTTGGCACTGCAAGCTGAACGGCTGGTGTTGCCGCTGTGAGTGGAGGATAAGGTGGTCAGGGCATCCCCTCTTGGACTCTAGGGGACAGAGGGCTGCCAAGGCCCTGGCTCCCACCAGCCCACTGCCACTGAGTCAATCTGTCTCACAGAGGCCTTACATAGAGTTTGCGAGGCTGTAAATCTTGGTGGGAGCAGCCAGCCCCAGCAGTTGGTGCGTTTGAAACACCAGCTTTGTGGGGAGTAGCCCAACGGCTGCCCCACAGCCTCACCAGAGCCCAGGTTGTCATTTCCCCTATTTTTGATTCACTGTCTTCTGAATCACTCCCTATGCCTGTGCTGTAAGAATATAAGCATGTAGCTGAATCAATGTTAACTAAGTAATGCATAATTCAATGTCCAGTAAAGTCCCCTCCCCCCCACCAACTTTTAACATGGGTTAGGCACCCAAGAGGATGCCTGGACCACCGTATGCCTAGTCGCTTTGACTAGTCCTACGTTTGATTGCTCTCCTCTGTGCACTCATCTTCCAGCTCGCTGTTTTCCTAGCATTCTGTAGTGTGTTGGTCCAGCTCCTCCCCTTTCTTTGAATGGACCAGGAATGGGAACCTGTCCTTCCCCATCTGGCCACGCGGTGGCGCCAGAGATATACTGCCTCCCCTACTCTGAAGGGCCTCCAAGAGGAGCTAGAATCCCTGGTTCGTATTCACTAAAGGACAAGTGGCTAGTGGGAAATAAGCCCAGCCAGGCAGAAGGTCAAGTGTCAGGGCTGAAGCATGGGTCCCTCACCTGCAGGAAGGTCTTGGCCCAGACTCGGAAGTGGAATTGCAGGCTTCGGCTCTCTTGCCGGTGCAGTGGCCCCAACTCACAGCGCAGCCGGAAACACTCGGTCTCTGGACATTTCTGGAAGAAAGGCCAGGCTTGCACCTATGGTCTGCCCTCAGAGATGTTCTCAATGCCCAGGTGCAGCCCCATTCCTAACCCAACTTACCAGGACCTGAGGCCCGGAGGAGGCGGAGCTCCGGCCCGGAGCCTCCCGCTTCTGCAGCTGGTGGTGCTGGGAGCCTTCAGGATGCAACTGCAGGAGACAAGAGGCCATCAGCTGCCTCTCCTACCTCATCACAGCTTCTCGATCAGCCTGCCCCTGGGCTCCAGCGCACCTTCCACCATCTCCCCTTGACCCATCCAATCATCTGAGCTCAGCATTGAACATGGAAAGGAATAAAACACAGTCCTTGGAGTCTACGTGGAGGGAGGCCTGGTGATGGATAGGGAGCCAGGCTCCTGTTCCGGCCTCAGTGCCTTTGCACTGCTCCTACCCTCGCTTGGAAGGCTCGGCTCTCCCTCTTCACAGGTGAGCTTCTTCTGGTCTTTTACCTGCTTCCTCCTCAAGAGGGTTTCTCTGATGGCTCCCCCTCATCACTTCTCACGGCCAGTGAACTTCTCCACCTTTACTTCGTTGCCTAGCTCCTTCCACTCAGGAGCCCTGGTGGCGGAGTGGGTTACACATCGAGTTGCTAACTGCAACCATTGCATGTTCAGTGGTTCAAACCCACTAGTCACTCCTTGGGGGAGACATGCGGTTGTCTGCTCCCATAAAGATGTAAAGTCTTGGGCACCCTGCCGGGCCGTTCTTCTCTGCCCCACGGATCTCTGCGATGGTGAGTTTGGTTTTTGTGTGGCGCCCCTCCCCCTGGCACATGAGCTCCAGGTCAGTGGGGCCCTGGCTGCCATTACCCGGTGAGGTATTTCTTGAGCCTCTGACGGTGGGCAGCGGAGGCCCTCATTTAACTGGCCACTGTTACCGGGTATTAAGCATTAAAGACAGGTGCTGGAGTCCAGTAGGACAGGTCTGAGGACGGCTTCCCAGAGCAGGTGACAGACCTGGCCCCCAGAAGCGAGCAAGGACAAGAAAGGACGTCGGTTCCAGCCACAAAGGCAGTACTTCGGCGGATCAGAGGCTTCCCAACTAGGGCCTGAGGTGTCTGTGGGCCTTCTGACCCCTTTAGTGACCTCAGCCTCAGCTTCAGGAGCATCCTCCTTGGCTCTTCCAGGTGCCACCGAGCCTTTTCCAACCACCCCCCACCCCCCCCACCCCGCCCCGCGGCCCCTCACCTCCAGGCCCTGTGGGTTGAGGGGGTGGCTGGCCGTGCAGTTGCTCAGTCCTGTCACCCTGGTCACGTAGAGCAGCTGCTGACCTTCCAGGGCCTGGGGGCAGTTGAGCTCCAGTGTCCCGTGGCTGATGGAGCTGGGGCCCCGGTTGATGAGCTGAGGCAGGGAGGGTACAGCCGACAGGAGAAGGGTGGGTGAGATGCCCTCCACCCCCCAACCCAAACAGATCCCCGGTCACCTCAGAAGGGACCCGTGGAGTCGATGGCAAAGCAATTCTCTCCAGTGGGGGCCCTGTCTTTCCAGCTCCAGGCTGATTCCCAGAGCCTCCTCCCCACCCCTGTCTGCCCCCCACGCAGCAGCCCCTCCTTGCTCTGCCAAGCTCCCCTCCCGCTGCCCCCTCCCAGCCCCCCCTGCACATTGGCCCCTGGGACTAGTTCCTCCTTCTCTGCCATTCACACCACTCCCCGCCCACCCTCCCAGCACCCAGTCTCCCTGCCTCACCTCATAGACGTGGTGGACAGCAGGGCCCACATCTCCCTCCTCCTGAGGCGGGTCTTTGGGATGCCAGTCGCTCATGGGGAACAGCACAGCCTCTGGCTTGGAGACACTGAGCAGGAGGGGGATTGAGAAGAGAGTGGTGGTGGGGGGGGTATGTGCTTCCCTCCTCGA